GGAACTGGGGCTTGAACTCAGGCCCTTACGCTTGCCAGGGAAGCGCTTATTCCACTGAGCCATCTCCCAGTCCCTAAAGTCCCCTTTTCTGACAGTTTCCCTAGTCTCTTCACTTCCTCCCTTCTCCACAGGGAGGAAGGCAATCTGCATAAAGAAGGATGTAATACAGGGTAGGTCAGAAAGTAGACTGGTCAGGAATGAGACTGTCCTCAGCCCCGGAAGAGAAGGAAAGGCCTCTATTTCTTTTTTTCAGAGTCCTTTCTCTGGTTTGAAACACAGCAACATGCTTTAGAAAAAGCTTTTCAAAATTCTGTCTTACAAATTAAGGATTCTTAGGAGCAGAAGAAAACGTTTTATGCATTAGAAGTCAGTCAGATGCCAGCAGGCACGGAGGTGCGTGCCTACAATCCCAGCACTCAGCAGGTGGGAGGAGGAGGCTGGGAATGCCAGGCCAGCCTAAGCAACACAGTGAGCCGAGGCACCGCGGACTACATAGTGAGACCCTCTCTCAAAAAGTGAAGGGAAAGGGGAAGGGGAGAGGGAGGGAGACAGACAGAGAGACAGAGACAGAAGGAAAGAGAAGAGGCAAGAGGAGCAGCTGGAGGCATACTGGACTACATGGCACAAGCCTCCAGTCCCAGCACTAGGAGGCTGAGTGAGGGTGGAGGACTGCCACGAGTTCAAGGGCAGCCCCGACTACACAGAGTTCAAGGCTAGCCTGAACGACATGGCAAGACCCTGCCATTAAAACCTGAGATGAGAAGGAAGAGGCGAGGGCAGGCAGGGGAGGGGAGGGGAGAAGAGAGGCAGACTCAAGTTTCCTCCCACTCAGTACTGAAAGACAGCCCAGCACACCTACCTTAATAAGCCCACTGAAGGAGCGTGAACGGGCCCTCTTCTGTACCCGGGGAAGAGGAGGTTCTCGTCCTGGTGTTTGGGTCAAAGACTGCTTATGAAACTAAAAGAAACGCATGAGCATATTATTAAAATTTCCCATCAACAGTTCAGCTGGTGGCAGCTGTACACACCTATAATCTCAGCTACCCAGAAGGCTGAGGCAACAGAGCTGCACATTCAAGGGCAGCCTGGCAAACTAGCCACGCCCTGACCCTAAATAAAGCATAAAGGACTGAGGACATGCCCAGCTGTAGATTACTCGCCTAGCATATACCACAAGCCCTGCCAAAAGAAGGAGAAAAGTCCAGGAATAAATAAGTCTGTGAATATACTGTATACACTAACAAGCTAACAAGCAAAATACAAGGCAGAAATGGAGGAGGTTAGAGCAGAGCCCATTGGTAGAGTGTTTGCCTACGATACACAAGGCCAAATGGTTCAATCCCCAGCACCGCAAAAAGTAAATAAATAGGGCCAGGGAGATAGCTCAGTAGAATAAGCGCTTGCCTGGCAAGCGCATGGTCCTGAGTTCAATCCCTGGGACCACAAAAAAAGAA